TATTTATTTTAGTTCTTTAATTATACTCTTGGGTTCAGATTGATCCCTTAATTTTTTTAATATTAATTTGGTTCCTTAACTTTCAAAATATTTCATTTTAGTCTTTTTTGTCTAATTAGCGACGGATTTAGCGACCGAATTCTAAGTTTTTTCGTCGCTAATTAGAAAAAAAAGATTAAAATAAAACTTTTTTAAAATTAAAGAACCAAATTTACACGAAAAAAATTAAGGGACTAATCTAAACCTAATGATATAATTTAAGAATCAAAATAAATATTTTGCCTTACTTCATCATCTATCCACTTGATATAGTAACAAAAAACCTACACACAAAATATTATCACTTTTAAATTGACTAAATAATTATATTATACATCTTATATAACAATAAAAAAATAAAGCTATAAATTATCTGAAATTTATAAATCAACAAACAATAATATTAAAAGAAAAAATAAAAAAATAAATTATGAAAGGAATAGTGGAAAAAGGAAATAAAAATTAGAAAAATAGTTAAATCAACATGTAAAAGAAATTTTAAAATTTTAGAATCAGACTCATAAATAAATATGAGATTCAATTTTTTATACTATAAACACTATGATGTTTCCTTGTTGAACACATTAAAAGACAAAATACTATTAAAATAAACTTGAAAAGAAACATTACAATCTTCTCTTGTCAATTTGATATCTAAGCTATATCCTGCAATTATATGTTCACGACACATCAAATTAAAAATATAAATAATTGAATCATTTATGCAACCGTCATAAAAAACCAAATTTGATAAATTGATGATACTTCCCTCATTTTAAAATAATCGTCGTTTAAAGCCTTTGTATATAAATTATGAAATGCAATAATATATTAAAAGTAGTGTAGAGAATAAAAAATAAATATCGCAATTGTAAAAATAGTAATCATTACTATATTAAAAAGTAAAAATGAGAGTCATTTTGAAACAAAATTTATTTGTTAAAACAATAATCATTTCGAAACAGAAAGAGTAGTAATTATCATGTGAGCCTGATGACATAAATAATGTGTAACCCTCTAACATAAAAGATTTTTTTTTTAGCAATAACCATGTTTTAAAAAAAATACACAAATAATCATGTTTTGAAAAAAATTACGCAGATGACACCTAGGTACAAAGTTCTTTTTTTTTTTTGCCCTAAGCCATCTCAGATGGCGCCTAGGTACAATTTTTTTAAAATATTTTATTTGTTAAAGAATTAAAAGGCATGTCGTTGCAAATGAAAGTTGATTTTCATCGGAGGTTTGGTGGCCGAGAAAATAATATACTCATCTTTGGTAAAAATCATGAGAGATGTTATGATGCAAAAAACAGAGAAAAAATGAGAAAGTGTGAAAAATGATGGAGAAATAGGTGTTTTATTTATAGAAAACACACTTGTATGTAGGAGTCATCTCAGATGGCACCTCCTATCAATATTATAGTGTATGCGTCATCTCACATAGCATAAAGTAAGTGTATGTACCAAATGAGATGGCGCCTAAGACCAACAAATAAGAGCATGCGCCATCTGAGTTGATTTATTTATTTAATCATATTTTGAAATATGATTATTTGCGTAATTTTCTTCGAAACATTTTTTTTTTTTTAAATATAGTTATTGCTAAAAAAATTCAACAAGAAAGTAAATTAAATTTGATAAATTGATGACAATTATCATGTGAGAGATATTCTTATGGCATAAATAATGTCTAACTTGCTAACCTAAAAGAACATCTCAATAAGTAGTTTATGAAGAAAGGAAAAGGAGAAAAGAATTTAAGATAGTTGAACATTATGAATGTAATGCAAAATATTGAGAGTGGAGATTGATTAGAGATAGTGGAGATTAGTTTGAGAGAGTGGAAAGTGGTTTCTAGAGCGGAGAAGTTATAATCTTTTTATTTAATTAATTGAAACATATTTATTGTCAATTTTTTAATTTTCCAATTTCATTAATAAGTTAATTAATTAAGTATCTCTTATTTTGTTTCCCTTTTTAAATTTGGAAAACTGTTTTTTTTTAGGTTTGTATACAATATTTATTAGTTATTAATTTCTAATTTAATAATTTAATTAATTATTTTTAATTTTTTAGTTTGCCAATTTGATAAATTAATTAATTAATTAACTATCTCCTATTTTTTAGTTATTTTTAAGTTTGACAAACTGTTTTTTCAAGGTTTGCATGCGTGAATAATTCATTTATTTAATAATTATTAATAATTAGTTATTTACTAAGAAAATTAATAGTTAGTAATTTAAAAAGGTTGTTTTGAATAATAGAAAAAATAGGTATCGATTTTAAAACCTGGGTTAAGAAAAATGTGGGTTAACAAAAAATAAAAAATAAGAAGTTAATGGGATAAAGTTAATGGGTAAGAATTTTTTTTTTAATGAAATAAAATAAGAATTTAGTGGGATAAATTTAGTTTTGTTTTAAGAAGAAAAAACCTTAAATAAAATTAAGAAAATAGTAAAAGATAATATTATAAAATTATCCTCAAATCAAATTTGACGACAAAACTTTATTTGAGACTTAACAATTTTATTTCAGAACTTTTACATCATTATCAAAATATTTATTTATATTTTTCAAATGGTTAAATGATTTCTTTTATTCATCATTCTACTTGTCATATAGTTTTCTATTATTCTTCACCCCACTAAAGATGAGTGATTTCGGGTCAATTTTTTTATCCAAAATAACTCATCTGAATTTTTTTTCCTTTGCTTTTCATTCAATTAAGTGATTTCACATGTATTTTAGTTTTTTCTTCGTGATTTCATCGTCTTAATGTGACGTTGTGTTGGTCGTCGTCTTATTGTGGCGTTATTTTGTTTTTTCGTTTTGGTGTGGTGTTTGTTCGATTCTGATTGACAGATTAGTTTCGACTCAATGCATATTCAACCAGTGACTTTGACGTCGTCAACGTTGCAGACTCGGACACATAGATATTCCGAACATTTCAATTTCATCATATTTGTAGGTTTTGTCACATTTATACGCATTTTGCCATTATATGTTATTAGTCTGGTGTTCTGGACTGGGCATGCGCTTAGTCTACCGTCGAACAAAGCCCGACCTAATACTACAAGAGGTCCAATAACATGTTGTGGATTAAGCCTGCACTTGGTCCCCCGTCGGACAAGTCTAGCCAAGTACTACTTCGAGGAGGGTCCACTGCAGTGGTCCGAATTGCTATGTCTGTTAGGAAACATCTCCTTCAAGAGCACGTCAAGGACGTCTCTTCCACGTGCACGTCAAGGATATCTCCTCCATGAACACGTCGAGGACGTCTCCTCCATGTGTCCACCAAGAGAACGTGACCAACAATCTTCCAAATATCACGAAGTCGTCCTGCTCCCGAAAAGAACGGGTCTTCGCCTCCGAGAATCGCAGAGCAGTTGAACTAGGATAGAGACCACAAATTGATCTCCTCTATCCACGTAGGATCCTGACATTCTCCATTATAGATCTGGACATCCAGCCCCAATAGAGACCTTGACCCAGTGTTGGAGGCTATAAATATCCTCTTTCACTAGAAGGTCGGATACACTTTTACTACTCACTTACTCTATATACTTGCACTCTCGCTCTGAACCTCACTTTGGCATCAGAGTGTCTTGCAGGTATTCCCTATTTACTTCAACAACCGCAGAAGTCTAAGTGTTGTCGGCCACTGAAAATCTATTTTGGTCGAGTACAATCACCTATGTATTGTGAGTTTGTTCGCATATTCATCTTTTTTAGTTTATAGCGATTTTGAATTTGTATTATGCGATGTATTCTATTAGTTTTAATGAATGTCATTTTTAATATAAAAAAAAATCACTCTACTTGTTATTATTTTATTCTTTATCAGTATTATCAAACATGAAAAATTAACTTTATTGATAAAGATTTTTGAATAAAACATGGTTATGGTTTTTATAATAGTCGGTATTGAATAAATAGGTATCATTTATATATCAAATTAAGAGAAAAGATAGAAAAAAGTACGATGATATCATTTTTATCTTTCAAAGAAAATTATAGTACTAAAATTACAATTATTACACTAATACAATAATTAACATTACTATTTTAAGTGACATATTACCCATCTATAATAATTGAGATTACTATTTTATATTTGACATTTTATGTTTGACATTTAGATAGATATTTTTAAATAATAATAAATAATTTTCTTATTTATTATAAGAAGATAGTATTGTTTATTAGTGATAAATTGTTTTTAACACTAAAATTTAATCTACGATAAACTTATAAGATATGAATCTGACCTATGACCTACTATAGGTTTATTTTTTAACTTACCTTTTTAAGTCTGATCTGACCTAAAAACCTATTTCTCATTAAAATTTTCAATAAAATCCATATTACTTAAAAAACTTTATCCAATATAGGCAGACTTATTTAGTATTTTTCTAATATATATATATATATATATATATATATATATATATATATATATATATATATATATATATATATATATATATATATATATATGGCTTTTTTAGTAAATAAATCTAATCTGACCTCAAATAAGCTAGGCCATAAACCCCTGGAGACCGACCGGCCTAACCTATTCTCACCCCTAAATCCAATACATAAGACCGACCCAATTACGAAACTTTTTAAAATCTCAAAGGACTTCACTAAACCAAAACCACAAGGAATCGTGGTGAAAAAAAAAAGAGATTAATTATGGATAACAATAACTGTTCAACTTTGTATGCTTTCATGTCTTCATACTATCTTGAAAGAAAAAAAACTATTAGAATCTTTTTGTATGCTTTCATGGCTTTTCAAAGAGGAATCATGAATTAAGCTTCCCATGTTTCTTCTATTGGAAATGAATGCTTAAAAAACAAAAACAAAAAATCTTTGGAATCCTTTTGCCAACAAGAAGTGATTGGTACGTTCCTACCACTCTATTACACCCAGCATCCACACAAACCACGTATTCTATCAAAAATCTGGTAATTTTTTTTCTAGCAGTGGCTTTACTCTTTTGTACATGCTCTTTATCTGCATAATTATTGTCCACGCTGTTAGCCGAGGACAGTGCAAACAATTAACAGCAAACAATCAGCAGAAAGTCAACACATCATCATATCCATTTGAAACAGCAATGCTACCATGGTCATGTCTGTGCATAATCACAGAATTTAGTTCAATTTGTCCTTCCAATGCAACTCTGCTTTCTTGTTCCTTTGTCCCTCGTACACACCCTTCACAATAGTTCAAACTTTTCAAAGCAAAAGGTTGATGCGACTTCTTCAATACAGTTAAACCAAACTTAGCTCCCTGGCAAATAGATTATTTCCTTTAACAACTTTGATTGGAAACATGAACAAAATTGAGGTATCTTCAAACCAGGTAATTTAGCTACTGTCCAGCTTCAATCCTATGCGTATGAAAATGAGATCTGTGTCCAATAGCAGAAACCCATCTCTGTAAAAAAAAACTAATTCTCTTCACAAGTACTTCACTGAACCACATGCATACTTAATACAGTGCTGAAAAGAAGCCCTTCGGGCATCACCAAAATCTGAAAAGGGTGCCTCATTGTACATCAAGACATCTGCTCTCCCCTACACAAACCCAGATTGCAAATCAAAATACTTAAAGAAACTTCCAGATGACGCTTTTCCTTTTCCACTTCAATGACAAATAGGTATCAGGGTCAAGTTATTTAACTTCACATTCTACCAAGCTTTAAAACACCAACCTATAAATCTATACATCATCCGATAACTAATTTAGACGTTTAATTATTCATATAAATGGGTTTGAACAGTCATAAGGGTGACATATCAAGAATGAGGCAGTATTGAAGCTAAAAGTTAACCAACAGCATATCACCAGAACAATATTAAAGAACCCTAAACCAGCATGAATATCAATAAAAAAATGTAATTTTGCATGAAAAGAATTGATAACAAAATGTTACCCAGGTTTATATGAGTATCCAAAATAAACAAACTTTACTTATTAAAAATGAATATTACGTTTTCCACCATGATTCAGAAGAAATCATTTAGTATATCATAGTATCTTAAAACAAACAACTATGACTACATTGGCATTTAGATAATGACATACATTCAAGCATTCATACATGACAATATTATTTTTCTCTAAAACACAATAAGTGATTTTGCAAAATATGCAAGTGCCTTGAACACCAGAAAACCACCCAAAAAATTTCAGTCATTGCAAATGTAATGAATATTTGATTTATTACTATTAATCAAATAAAAAGATTCACAAATAAATTAAGGTACATAAACACTAGTTTTAAATGAAAGACATGGAACAGAATGCCACGTAGAACCTTCATAACCATGCAGAATTTCTCTACAATGTAGTAAATAATATAAGAAAAACATAATGTGTGTGGCAGACGGAAAGAGTGTTGAAAGGAAAAGTATATTTCACAACTTACAAGAGTTTATCTGGTAGTATTTTCCTTCTGAAATACCATCTTAGCCGAAATATTATTCAGGGAGGTACAATGAGCTAACGAGTGGAAAAAACCGGGTGTTTGACAGCTTGTATAAATGAGATGCCATCAAATTTTCAGGCTTGTTACATAAATTATCAACATGTACAAATGAATGGAATACAAAGAATATCAGATCCATTTGGGCTTCTGCCTCACTAAACTCAATCAATTTCCCTATTCCACTAACTTTACCGCCCTGACAATAAGGACTGCATTTTAGCCAAATAACTGGAATAGAAGGGAGGTTTTCTGCTCTCAGCCAACGCAACAATCTTCCTCGCTTTATCAATCTCCCCAAATCTCTTTAGGCCTTCCAGCAGCATAAAGATAGTACCTATATTCGGAAACCAATTTTTCCGCATACTATCTTCACACATAGTGTACGCCTGACCAAAATCCTCTCTCTTACACAAATAATGAACGATCGTCTGGTAAATATTAGCACTAGTCTTATAACCCTTCCTCTGTAAGGACGAAAAAACCCTCATCGCCATCTGAGGATAACCAGCGAGAAAAAAACCCTTAATAACCAAAACTAACGTAACCTCATCGGGCGTAACCCCAAGTCTCCGCATCAAACCCATCAGAGCATTAGCATCCCAAGCCCGCCTAACAGTAATCAAAAACTGAATCCGAACATTAAAAGTATGAAGATTCGGCATACAACCCTTGAACACCATCCGGTTCCACAACCCATTCCCAATCTCCCATCTGTCATCCTCATAAAACGCGGAGATAAGAGTGGTATACGTAACAACATCCGGGTTCACACCTTTATTATTCTCACAATCAATCATAAACAAATAAGCCTCTTGAAGCTTGTCATCTTCACAAAAGGCCTTAACAGCAATGTTAACAGAATAAACATCTAATTTAATATTAAACCTAGAAGGAACCTCATCTAAAAACTTAATAACCTCATGAAATCTCCGATTGGAAACCAAAACATTAAGCGCGGCATTGAAAGATTTAACAGTTGTACGGCATTTAAAACAATGCATTTCATAAAAAGTATCAAGCGCGTGACGAACCATACCAGCCTTCCCATACAAGGTGATAATCCGAATGACGAAGCCTTCGCTGCGGGACTGCGGTAACGTTTTCTGGTGTTCGAGTAGTTTCTCGATGTAGTCGAAGCGTTTAGCGGCGGCGAGGCGCGAAACGGTGTCGTAGAAAGCGAAGCGGTTTTGGACGAGGAGGCGGTTGGTGGCATTGGCTTTGAAGAGATGGAAGAGCTTGTGGGGGTCCCACTCGGATTTGAGAGTTTTGAGGACGGGTGGTTGTGAGGGTTTAAGGGTTTTGAGGGTGGAAGAGAATCTGCGAGTGGATCGCAGAGAGGGTGGTAGCATGATCAGGAAGAGAGTGAGGGAAGATCATGCTCGGTGGTGGTTGGAATGGGGTTTAGGTTGAACGTTAGGGTTCAGGTGGAATGAACGGGGTTTCCCCCATTTTCTCTCATCGTTGGATTTTCAACTTTTTTTCTAACAGGGAGAGCATTTTATTTCACCACTTTATTTTTTTAATTTTTTTAATTTTTTTTTAAATCAAAATAATATATTAATTCAAAAAGGCAATTCAACCAAGGCAATCCAATAGGATTCAGCCATAAATTAATTATATCACAAGGCTAGTTATGTGCAACCTAAGCTTTCTATTTCTCCATCCTATATACACTATACAGTCAATAATTTTCTCCACTATATTTTTCTTATTTGTATTACTATCAAAAATGATAGAATTTCTGTGTAACCATGTCTCATGGATGGCTTCAGTAAGAGCAATCTTCAGGACTGATGCCCTTCAGCCCCTGCCTTTAGAATTTGCTATTATCCAATTCATCTCAACATTCCATGGTCCCAGATTATGGATGATTCCCAACCAATTTAAGATGGCCTTCCACGTAACAATAGTTTTACTACAGACGAAGAAGATATGGTAAGCACTTTCTTCTTCCAAGCTACACGGACTACAAATATTATCTTGAATAATACCAAAGCGCAAGAGTTTGTCCTTTGTTGGAAGGCTGCCATGACATAGAGCCACAACGTGATTTTTGCCTTTGGTCTTGCCAGGTTGTGCATTAGCAAACTACTCCAGTTCATCCTGCTAGAATCATCAACCAGCAACTTATAGACATTTTTCATAGAAAATTTCTTCTTCATGAGCATTTGATTCCACTAATGATGAATTGTGGTTACCAAATACTTGTGATTCATAATTTTTTCATGGTTCACGTCCAATTCTGCCCAGCTTCAACTTCCATGACATCCCGACCTTTCAGATAAACCTTGTGAATCTACTTGACCCACAAGTTATCACTTTTGTTGCAGATGTTCCAAAGGCATTTAAGCAAAGTAACTTGGTTCCAAACTGTCATATTTTTCAGCCCTAGGCCTCCTTGCTTGCTGGGACTGCAAACTTTGCTCCAAGCTACTGGGCTCTTTCTACTCACATCAGTTTTGCCTGTCCACATAAAGGTTCTACAAACAGCATCGATTCTTTTTATCACAACCTTAAGAAGAGGGAAATCCAGCATCCAGAATTGAGTTACAGAGCAGATAATATTATTAACTAATTGGACTCTACCTGTATAGCTTAGAAGCTTGGTGGGCCAGTGGCGGATTCTTCCAATTATCTTATCTATCAAGGGAAGATAGTGCAGTAAGCTGAGTTTCTTACTGCTGAGAGGGACACCCAGATACCGAACCGGGAAATGCCTTTCTTCAAACCCAGTAGAAGCTTTAATACTGGCCCTAGTCTCCAAGTCAACACAACTAAAAAAGACTTTGCATTTACTAGGATTGAAGATGAGACCTGTGGACTGTGAGAAATTCTTGAACGTTGTCATTAAAAGATCAACAGAGGCCTGATCACCCCTACTGAAAAGGAGGATATCATCAGCAAAAGCGAGATTAGTCAGAGCCAAATTCTCACACTTTGCGTGGTGATTAAAATTTGGATCTTTTTGCATCTTCACCAAACATCTATTGAGGTATTCTATCATGATTACAAAGAGGAGAGGGGAGATAGGATCACCCTATCTTATTCCTCTTCTTGCTTGCAGAATTTCAGAGAAACTACCATTGATATTGAAAGTAAAGGAAACAGAGGATACCAAATTCATCACCCAGCACACAAATCTGTTTGGAAAGCCCATCTCCTTCATATACTCTCCAGAGCCCCCATTTGACCATATCGTACGCTTTTTGTAGATCAATTTGTAACATGCATCTTGGAGTGCCATTCCTTCTATCGTAGCCCTTAACAAGCTCATACGCTAAGTGAATATGATTACGAATATCTTGTCTAGTAACGAAAGCAGCTTGGTTCTTGTTTATGATATCTGGCATAATGTTTCTCATTCTCGCAGTGAGGACCTTTGATATAATCTTGAGAAAAATAGTGCAACCAGAAATTGGCCTAAAATCTTTTATGCTTTTAGCACTTTCACCTTTAGGAATAAGCGTGGCCACTGTTCTATTAAACTTTTTAAGTATTAAGCCAGTACTGAAGAATTCATTAACAATAACAATGACATCCAGCTTCAGAATTTCCCAGCAATTCTTAAAGATCTTTGCATTGAAACCATCTATGCCAGGGGATTTGTTATCACCTATATCTTTAAGGGATTCTTCAATCTCCTTATTAGAAACCTTGCTCACAAGAAAATCCTTTTGTTCTATGTGAATTTGATTACCCTCCCTCATTGCCTCCACATCAATGTGCTTAATTCTGTTAACATGCTCTCCCATCAAGCTATGGTAAGAATTCATTATCTCTTTTTCAATATTGTTGCGATTTGCTATGACCTCCCCATCCTCTTTTTGCAGGAATTTGATACATTTTCTGCTTTGCCTAGCTTTCAAATAAGCAAAGAAAAAATTATTATTTCCATCACCTTGTCTGATCCAATCAAGCTTAGCCCTCTGCATAAATTTATTCTCTTCATGATCATGTATCTTTATGACTTCTTCAGTGAGCATTTTAATATGCTCAATAACATTGTTATCCTGCATGTTATTAATAAGGTCATTTTGAGCTTTGTACAGGTTCTCTCTAGCAGTAACTAACCTCTGCTTCATATTACCAGCTTGCTTGCTGAAACTCTTAATAGTTGTCTTTGACCTATGAAGCTTGTACCACAGAATTTGCATCGGACTACCTATTGCAGGTTTATTCCAGGAATCATTTACCATCTCTTTAAAGCCATTTAAATCCAGAAGATAGTTATTGAATTTGAAGTGGTTTCTCCTCTTTGTATCATCAGGGCCACTAATATGAAGCATGGAATGATAAGAAACATTGGGAGGCAGAATACTCGGTACTTGATTAGTATGTTGCAAAAACCAAGCAGCATTACAAATGGCTTTATCTATCCTTGAATAAATTGTACCTGTGGCATGTTTATTAGACCAATTGAAGTGATCACCCGCATTGTCCATCTAAAACAGCTCAGTCTTTTTCATCATATTGGTCAGATCCATATATTCACTTTCACTAACCAGATTGCCTCCTATTATGTCCTGGGCAGTGGCAACATTATTGAAATCCCCTACAGCACACCATGGTCCAGCTTGAGTATCATGGATGCTACCCATCTTTTTCCACGGACTCCTCCTCAAATCTAAATGGTTACTTGTTCAGACGTCAGCAATTAGACACAGACTAGATATGCTCCAGACACAGAAGCTATTCTATTTCTTACTCAGATTCAACCATCCCTTGCATTTCCAAATGGCATCTATAAGCCCATTCCCGACAAGGGTCTGTCACATCCAGATGGCATCTATAAGCCCATCCACCTACCAACAGTCTCCAAATGGCATCTATAAGCCCATCCTCCTATCCATCATCTCTCCAAATGGCATCTGTAAGCCCATTCCCGCCATCATGCTGCTGATACTCTACTATGTGAGTGCAAATTTCTGGGCACTTTAGTGTTCAATCATCTTCCACCTTCGGATCACGAAAGGCACGCAAGCCAATCTACATCCTCAGGTATAAGAAGATTGAACAGGGGCAACTGTTGCACCCCAAAATTTTCCCTCCCATATTCTTCAAGATTTGGCAAGATCAAGCTTCAAATGGATTAAGGATTGCACAGTTCAAACACCCTCCTAACACAGTCAAAATTAGGGTTTTGGTTCTTACAAGGAAGTTGAGGTTTCCAAGGGGCCAATCAAGTCCCATATGCCTATATACATTGTCAAACATCCATATGTCAAGTTTCAAGACTCACAGCACCAAGTTGCACAGTCAAAAGCCCTAATTGCTTCACAGTCAACTACAGGGGTAAAATGGTCATTTGACAGTCAAAAGTCAAAAATTTTGGTCAACATCCTATTTTGAAGCCACAATCATCATTTGATCAAGTCTTGATCATGATTCCTCAAGAATGGCTCAGAAATCATCAAGATGCAAAAAGTTTCTATTTTTGGACAGCTGAAAAGTCAACTGTAACTTGACCAAGGCATAACTTTTTCATGGTTCATCAGAAAAATCCCATCCAATGCTCATTTTGAAGGGGATGACATTTCCTACAACTCATCTTCCCATTCCAAGTCCAAGAAATGCTCTCACAAAAAGTTATCAATTTCTACATTATAGGTCATTTTCAAAAGTCAACAAAAAGGCACTTTAAGTCAAAGACCATAACTTGAGATTGGTAAATCAAAATGACATGGGACCAAAGACATTGGTTAGAAGACTTCAAGACCTTTCCAAAATGTCCAAGAACATGTTCATAGCTTCAAAATTGAGCAAGATATGCATTGGAGAAGTTGGGAAATTTTTGGGAACTTTCAAAAGTCAACTTTGCCTAAAACACTTCATTTTTGCTAATGGGCCTCAAATTCCTTCTTGAATATTTTCCCAAGGATTATGCACGATCCATTGAGCTTAAGATGATTTATTTTCTTATTTTTAATTAATTAATTGAATTTTTATTAATATAAATTCATTTAATTGATTTTAATTGTAGGAAAATTCAAAAGATATGATTTTTAAATCTTTTGTGATGCAAATAAAGCTAGGGCAAGCTGGCAATTCGTGTACATATCAAAGACCTCAAAATCTCCATGATTGGCAAGGTTTTATCAAAGAAAAAGATTGAAAAAGATTTGATTGGCAATCACACATTCAAACCATAATGCCATGGATTGTTGGGCCAAGATTTACCCTAATTCTATTGTGCTATATGTATTGAAGCAAACCCTGAAATCATACACGTGAAAAAGCTGCTGAAACCATAGAACCAAAATTCCAAAAAGTCAAGAAAAGTGTGAAACTGAAATCTCACTTGCAGCATAATTCAAAGCCTAAAAAAGATTCAAACGTATTGCTGACATTG